CGCATGGATATCTGCTGCATATAATGCCAGTATTCCATAAAGTGAAGTCGTGCTAGCAACTTAAACTACTTAGTAATCATATTGAACTCTTGGCCGTAGTTACAACACCACATCAAAATAGATGGCGTTACACAATGTCTCCATGGTAACCGAATTACCGAAAACAGTTTACTAAGATGCATCACTTGTCATTATAGTTTAATTTCAAAAGATGGAAGTTTTAACAAAACAAATATTAAGCGTAATAAACCGAAACTGAAATATTTAAATGTATCTTCTTAACAGTCGTAAATCTAATTCTAAAGTACAAACCAATCTATATTATTACTTGGAGTCTGAACCTTCGAGACAAACTTTGGGTTTATCATTCATGTGATTAATTACTTAAGAGAGAGAGAGAAAAAACGTTTAGCAGACTAAACCGATCTGAGAAAAAATATACTTTTGAAAATCTAAGCTTATACACGTCGAAAAATAGTATAATACCTTTAAGCATATAGATCTTAGAGAGAAAAACCCTGATCATGATGGAAAGTTTGAACTTCCGAGATTACTTTTTGTAGGTTAATCTCATTGTCTGAATCACGTGAATATTTTGTGTCGTTCAGTTGACAGAAATGGATAGGAGATAAAATTTTTTAAAATGTTCTTCAACATAAGTAAACCTATGTCAGGAGTTAATATAAGTAAACCTACGTCAAAAGTTAACATAAGTAAACCGATGTCAGGAGTTAACATAAGTAAACCTATGTCAGGTGTATTGTGGAAGAATGTAGGGTAAGTTCTTCCTAATTTTGTCAAGGTGAATTTTAAGTAGAGCTAGATGGCGCAGAAGAACTGTTGTCAAAGGAATTCCGGTTTGAATGCAACATTTCAGTAATTATTTACTCAAAGAAAAAAATATTTATACTTAAACAGTTTTAAGTTGAAATAATACAAATTAATTAATGTTGTGTATATATGTGTTTAAATCAGTATAATCTCTGTCTTTCTCAGAGAGTTTGTCCAGTTAAAAATAATGATACAAATCGAGATAGAATGCTAAATAGTGAACTTATATTTATAAACAAAGCCCCCCAGTGGCACAGCGGTGTGTCTGCGGACTTACAACTCTAGAAACCGCGTTTCGATACCCGATACCAGTGGTGGGCAGAGCACAGATAGCCCATTGTGTAACTTTGTGCTTAATTTCAAACAAACAAACACAACAATTATAAACAAAAGTTAAAACTAAAATGTGAAATGGAGATTTTATATAAAAACGGAACCAAACAAACTGACACTTTATGTAATAAGAGTTTGTTTTGTAAAAGCATCAATAATTTTATCATTAAATTGTAGCTAAACTACAAAATGCGTTTCTGAAAACGTGAATTAAGTAACTTAGTACAATTGAAGAGTATATTTACTTTGAGATAAAATAACACTCTTTGTAAGGCACACAACGCTTTTAATTACTAATTTTTGAAATTTTTGAAATACGCATCCAGACATCCTTAAATAGATATGCCATTCGAAACTTAGTTTGAATATAGCAATATTAATAAGTTCTTTGTTTATGAGGATGGCAGTAAGCGGTAGGAAATAAATGGAAAGTAAAGTATTATTGAGAACAAATGAGTGTTCTAGTCTTTCTTTGTGACACAATCTTTCCTAGCTAACTAAAGCACTACTAATGTATCCTGATTGATAACCAAACATCCTCAACCTGAAATAGAACTGTAAAAATCGACAAACATACGAGTGCTTGTAATCCCACCATCTATAGTTAAAATCCTTTTGATAATGGAATATGAATAAGCACAGGTATGGCGTGGTTAAAGTACCGTGTAATATAAACACAACTATACCCCTGTTTTATAAATTTTTCACAAAATGAGTGAAAATAACATAGAGCAATGTTAGATGATTTAGATAACCTCGTACTATCTAAGTTACCACAAAAAGACAAAGAGAACATTTTCTAAACTGTACAAGACATAGATTTTGTGTGTGTGTGTCACAGAAAACCAGTTGTTAAGCAAAACATGATATGAAACATTGTGATAAAAAGGTTAGAAAAAACAACTTTTATACTCCAGATAATTATAAACATACTTTTTTAAACAACGTTTTGCCTATGCGGTCTAATCAGGGTGGCCAAAAAAGTGTTCCTGTCCTTTACGTTATGCAACTTCTGTATATCGATTCTAAAAGTTTTATTTGTACTTCAGATAATATTGGAAGATATCTAAAAATAAACTCCAAACCACTGACGAATTAACGCAACAGAACACAAATGCTTTCCAACGAATCAGATTTGAGAATTGTGTAACACGAGAAAAACTACTAGAAAAAGTATTTCTTACATCTATTTTAACTTAAGAAACGAAAGCGATATCAGCGTAACAGTATTTAATAGGAATTTTGGATATAGTCAAAATATTTTACATGTCTTAAACCATATTAAAACAGAGCAGTATTAAGTAGTTGACACATTTTAAATGACTTAACAGTACGATGCAATATTATTACCAGCTACATTGGTGACACGAAGAAAAACCCGGATCCGCATTGTAACCATAGATACTGGTAACATAAAAACAAGGTCTTACGTTTTTATATCACACATATAATGTGA